ATAATAATAATAATAATAATAATAATAATAATAATAATAATAATAATAATAATAATAATAATAACCATTAGGCCCTCCCTCAAGAAGAGCAGCACAGTACCAGGACCTGCATAAAATATCTAAATCTAAACTGTCACAGGGGGTAAACACAATAAAAACATGCTTTATCTGCAGCATTGCTCATTAAAATGCTACATTACTGATTTATTCAAACTAAATACGATAGGTACACTTAATGAGCCGGACTTATACTAAACGTGTGCACCCATAATTGTAAACAACCTAAAACAATAGACACACAAGCAAATGAAATTATAAATGTATGGCATGAAACATTTAAATAAATACTAACACATACTGGGTTAATTGTGGAGGAACCTCCACAGTTTGGTTTGAATTCACCGTTTTGCCTCCATCCATTTTCTTCCTCTGACAGATCGTGATTAATCCGAATTATGAAGTGGCCGAGTCCGACTACACCAACAACATCATGAAATGCAGATGTCGGTACGATGGCTACCGGGTCTGGATGTACAGCTGCCATAACGGTGAGGGGGGAAGATTTAAGCTGCGTTAATATGGAAAAAAGACCCGTTCAAAGAGTCACAGAAGCTCTGTGATTGCTAGCTAACTGTGGCTTGTAGCTAGGTTAATTTTTCTTTTAAAAAAAAGCATTTTCAACCTTGAGTCCCCTAAGTTGAACCTTAAATTTGGATAAATATGTTTAGATTAATAATTATTCATCATTCATTAGTTAGCTAGTCAGTTAGTTAGTTAGTTAGTTAGTTAGTTAGATACTAAAAAAACTGTTTTTAACAAACAGTAATCTCTTCAAATTAGCTATTAGTGTGCTAAAAACGTTTAGCTAGCTAAATTAATTATTTCCTATTAGTAATATCTTTGTTAAGAGTGTTTAGCTTTTTAAAGGAACTATAGCTAATTTCCTTTAGCTTATTTCAAATGGGGGGAAAAGACTAATTCAAAGAGTCCAAGAAGTTGTGATTGCTAGCTAACTGTGGCTTGTAGCTAGCTTGATTTTTCTTTAAAAAAAAAAAAACATTTCAACCTTGAGTCCATTAAGTTTAACATAAAAACGTTTAGCTAGCTAAATGA